GGATGAACGTTTATTTTTAAAGCTTATAAATGAGTTCTTCATCAAGCTCTCGTGAACCTTCACCATCTGAAACAAACTTTACCAAACGATTATGGAGCACCTATTGAATATTTCTTACGAGCTGCACAATGGCAAAGAGCAGTCTCACCAAGGTTAGGTGTTCCACCAGCTCCTGTCAAAAATAGCATTTGGTCAAGTCCTTATATAAGATATGGTCTCCCACTAGGTTTGCTAGCTACAGCAGGAGCAGTTATGATGTTGAAAAGAAATAAAGCAAATGTTATAAATAATACTGAAGTAGCTGAAGTTAAACAAACTCCAACACCTTCGTCAAAACCAACGCCTTCACAAGCAAAACCTTCAATGACTCCTGAACCTATGGAAGTACAAACTCCTGTTCAAAAGTCAACTCCTAAACCGACTCCAACATTTAAACCAGAACCTACTCCTCAAATAAATCGTAAAACTCCTGCGTTTCCTTACTGAAAAAATAACGTTATTTTTATTTTATTAAATTTTTATTTGATTGAAATGACGACTAAAGTCACTGAAGCAATGAAACAAAAGTTTTTGGTAGAATACATTAAATCAGGAACTTCCAGAAGGTTTTTACGTTCATACTATGAAGGATGGTAGAGTTCAGTTTAGAAAGATAAAGCAACCATTAGATAGAGAAGGTAATTTTGAGAAAGATTAAACTTCATGAGGACAACATTGCTGAACTTAAGAAGAAGTTAGAAGAGTTGGAGAAAGGAAGAGAGTTATAAAGTAATGAATTCAACAGGTTAGAAATGAGGTTAGAAAACGTGTTAGATCTAACATTCTAACATAAACATTATTTTTGTGCTATGTTTTCATACGTGTGAGGGTGGTGATATCATTAATTTTAAGTTTATTTTTTAAATAATTTTTATTTTATTTTGGATGTAAATGACAGAACAAAAGCAACTCATTCGAATTCCACAGTATAACAAACATACATTTAAACATTTATTCTTCCTTCCTGAGCATAACATGTTCTTTCAAATACATCCGAGACCAGTTGACTTTTCATTGACTGTTTATAAAGATAGAAATAGTTATATCATTAAACCATACGATGACGAAGGTAAGTTATGTAAATTGTACGTTAAGAAGTTAGAGAAAGTTTATGGCTTCAAGTATGACTACAATAGGGTTAACACTGATGATGAAGATATTGAGGAAAATTTATGAGAACATTAGTGAAGTTGTTAGTGAGAACGATAGTGAGAACGTTTATTTTTACATTAGTGAGTTCGTTAGTGAAGTGAAGTGGGTGGTGGTTTTGTAAATATTTAAGGTTAAGTTAGTGTTGTCGTTTGTGTTGTAAAATATACGTTAACGGTTTTGTAAAGTGTCAAATTCACAAGTATTGCGTATGGAGGAACGCAGTGCCTCCATACACGAGACTTGTATACTAACTATAATATTCTCTTGTATACTTTCTTCTATTTTTACGAACACGAATGTGAGTACCTGTCGGGTTCCCATTGTTGTCATAGTCAATAGTATTTTCATATGGGTCGCGTTTAGGTATTTCTATTTTTACTTTGTCTCCTTTCTGAAGTTTGAAGCCCGGCATTCTTTCTTGTTTGTCTCTTTTGACTAAATTATTAAATATATAGTCTTTCTCTAAGTCGGGGTTGTTTTTCATTTCTTCGGGGGAGTGGTTTCCCAAACCTTTTTGTTTACGGTTATTGTAAATATTTAAAACTTGTCTCATCTTTGCCATGGAGAAGTGTCTATATTTGTCGTCATATGACATTTCATTTGCTTCACCACCTTGTGGTTGGTTTAAGTCTCTTAACATTTTTATACAACCGTCAATGACACCAAGAGCAGAATGGTTTTGGTCGACAATGAAATATTGTTTACATTTTTTGAACGCAGATAGTTTTTAATATCGTCTGATTTGAAAGAACTTTCACAGTCAGATGTCAGTTTTGTTGGATGGTATTTGTCAACGAATATTGTCAAAGCAGTTTTCACATCTAAAATATTTTTGGACCATAATGGTATGGCTTCACAGTACTTGTGTTTTGACCAACAAATATTAGCCAGTATGGAGGTCCATCTTCTCTATACCTCGGAATGTTTTCCAAGATATCCATAAACCAAGCATTTGGTGTTGAACTAAAGATTTTTATCATGAGTGCTTTTTTTGTTGCCTTAGAAACATAGGGGTCCTTGTTTGGATTCGTCATTTTTTAACCCATAAGAAATGGTTTATTGGCGCATTAGCAGGAGTCGCATCTAGATTTTTACCCGCAGTGGGAACAATAGCCAGAGGTGTATTTGGAGTTGGAAGGAAGATTTTGAGTACATTAGGTATACTTAAAGAGAAAGCACAACCTATTATACAAACTGTACAGAAAGGTTGGGATGTAGCACGAGATGCAACAAATCTTATTCCAAATCCTGAAACAAGAGGAAAAGTTCAAGGATGGATGGACAATGTAGGAAGACAAGCAGGAAATTATTATAACAAAGCAAATGACTACTATAACCAAGCAGGACACTATATGGACCAAGGTGAAAGATTCTTTAACAGAGGATATAACCATGCACAACAGTGGGTAAACAATAACCAACCGCAACCACCTCAAACTTGGGAATGTAAAATTTTTTACTGAGATGAAATGAAACAATACAGCATTGAGACAAATGGGTTCAAGATGGATTTGTCGGCTTCCAGCAGTTACACAACGTGTTTGTCAAGTTCTTCCTATACCTCAGGAAGTTTTAGCCGACTTAAAAACCTCAACAACCAGTTGAAAACAAACCAAACTAAATTTTTTACTGAGATGAAATGACCGAAGAAGTTGAAACGGTAGATTGACACCACAAACAAAAAGTTCAGAACCATTGTCAAAACCTGTCAAAGAACTTACAGATGAAGAGAAAAATTCAATAATAGAAAGTGCCAGGTCTGGAAATACAAACTCTAACTACAAAGTCACTTTTCATAAAAATGGAACGGCAAGTATCTCAAAAAAGAAACAGACTCTCACAAATAAAAATATTGAAGTCTGAAGGAGCTTTCGAGACAACAGATGGAAAAGTTTACTTCACTGACCAACAGTTCATTATAGAACATCTCATTGACTTAGAGTCGAAATATTCTAAACTTTACAACAAACACAAAAAGTTGAAAGGAAAACAAAAACAAATGGCATATGATATTTATGAAGATGTTGACGACACAACTGTTCCTGCAAGTGAAGTAAAGTCAGAGGAACCGAAAAGTGACGAAAAAACCGATAGAAGAAGAAACCAAAAACTGAAGATAAACCAAAACCAAAGTTTAGTTTCCAAACTAAACCAAGTCAACCTTCATTAGCTGGTATGGGTTGGCGTCAAAGACTTATGGCAGCAGGCGGTTATGTTAGTTAGTATGACTATGTTGGGTACGGCGGCACTGCGTTCCACCTTACCCAACATAACCTTAAATATTTACAAAACCATCTGACACATAAACGACTTCACTAACGACTTCACTAACGACTTCACTAACGAATTCACTACCATCCTCACTAAATAAAAAATAACCTTATTTTTATTTTTTTTAATTTTTTATTTCATTACAAGACATGTCCGACTACATTTACTATGACTCTTTCCCAGAACGTTTCCGTGAACTATTCAAAACTCAAGTAAAACTGAGAAACATGCATTTTAACAAAGACAGACCCATTGACGATGAAAGAAACCCTGAATATATTACAATCCCTTATGACGCAAAGTTCATTGCATACATTCCTTATGTCGCAGAGGAACGAAAACTATTTCAACAAAGAACAAAAATTATTTCTGGAGCGATGAAAAAAATTGCCTTATCTACATAAATGCATACTTAAATAAAGCTACATATTGTACAAAAGAAGGTTGGACTGGATTTGAGCTCTACATATACGACGACGATGGAAACAGACGTTGTGTATACCCATACGATAATATGTACCATTGTTTTCATCAAGCATTAAACGAATACATAGTCAGTAAGGGTCTCATTCCTGCTGAGTAGAAATGTTATATTTTTGTTCCCACATTTATTTAAAAATTAATGATATCACCACCCTCACACGTATGAAAACATAGCACAAAAATAATGTTTATGTTAGAATGTTAGATCTAACACGTTTTCTAACCTCATTTCTAACCTAGCCGCAAAGCGGCTCTGACCCTTTGGGTCTGTTGAATTCATTGCTTTATAACTCTCTTCCTTTCTCCAACTCTTCTAACTTCTTCTTAAGTTCAGCAATGTTGTCCTCATGAAGTTTAATCTTTCTCAAAATTCCTTCTCTATCTAATGGTTGCTTTATCTTTCTAAACTGAACTCTACCATCCTTCATAGTATGAACGTAAAAACCTTCTGGAATAATTCCTGATTTAATGTATTCTACCAAAAACTTTTGTTTCATTGCTTCAGTGACTTTAGTCGTCATTTCAATCAAATAAAAATGTTCAAATAAAATAAAAATAACGTTATTTTTCAGTAAGGAAACGCAGGAGTTTTACGATTTATTTGAGGCGTAGGTTCTGGTTTAAATGTTGGAGTCGGTTTAGGAGTTGACTTTTGAACAGGAGTTTGTACTTCATAGGTTCAGGAGTCATTGAAGGTTTTGCTTGTGAAGGCGTTGGTTTTGACGAAGGTGTTGGAGTTTGTTTAACTTCAGCTACTTCAGTATTATTTATAACATTTGCTTTATTTCTTTTCAACATCATAACTGCTCCTGCTGTAGCTAGCAAACCTAGTGGGAGACCATATCTTATATAAGGACTTGACCAAATGCTATTTTTGACAGGAGCTGGTGGAACACCTAACCTTGGTGAACTGCTCTTTGCCATTGTGCAGCTCGTAAGAAATATTCAATAGGTGCTCCATAATCGTTTGGTAAAGTTTGTTTCATAGATGGTGAAGGTTCACGAGAGCTTGATGAAGAACTCATTTATAAGCTTTAAAAATAAACGTTCATCCTTTATTCCTCACTGTCGTCAGTTGCTAAGTTATAGTCGTCAAGTCTTATTATTGGTATGCCTGACTGTCTTACTTGTATTGCAAAGCAACAATCCCTCATAAATCCAATAAGTGGCTTTGGTACATTTTCAGTTGCTAGTTCAATAGGTCCTTTAACAGACAATTTGTATGTTATTGGAGCAGTAGATGTTTGACCTTGCTGGAAGCAAAAGTCCACTTCTGTTGGAAAACCACATAAGAAATGTGTGTTGTCATAGCTATCCCATTTATGTTCCACACTACCATCATCCACCAATGACCTCATAACATCTTCATTAAATCCTATCATATCATTGTTTGTATTGCAAGCGTTCGCAACCATTTCATAAAATACAGGTCCATATGATTTTTCAGGTTCTGCAGGCATATTTCCATAAGCTCCCATGGAAAGCTGAAGATATTTAAACTTAGGGTTCTCAAAATTAACATAATAGTTGTCTTTCTTTCTAAATAGTGCCCAAATACTTTTAACATTAATAGGCGTATAAGCTGCTGTAAATGTTGCACTTGAACTATCTGTATTCTTTGAGAATGAACCGTCCATAGGAATCCAATCCATAACTTTAACAGGAAAACATAAAGCCTCGTTTGTATAATGTTCTACAAGTTCTGTATAAATGTTAGGGTCTAAAGAGAATGACTTTGGATGAATGAAACATTCATTAAAATCCATCTTTGTTCGAAATAGTTGCTGGGTTACAGTTGTAATAGTAACTGTTCCACTAGCTTCTACTGCCTTCGTTATCATAGTGAATGGTTCATTCCATGGAACAAATTTATTTGTCGGTGGATTTGAATCTGAAGCAAATGCAACTTTAAGAGTTGGATTGAAAGCAATGATATCATTTACAGATATAGATGTGCATTGTAAGGCGTCGCTACTGAACTTTACTTTAAGCTGAATGTTTCCTGCAAAAGCTGGAATAAATCGAATAGCTTCTAATGGAAGGAATCTTCTAACAGGAATTCTTAAACGAAGCTTAAAATCAAATGATTTTCCTGCTGTAATTGGACCACTAACAATTTGTCCTGTTCTGCATGTTCCCGAATGACTCCATACATCTTCATGTCGAGTCTTTGAGAAAACATCTACTTTCTTTATTTGTTCGGTAGTTTGTGAGTTTGAAGTTATATATGCTTCTTCTCTTGCGTTGTCTTGAGAATATACGATACGACCATTTGCAAGGATTTGATATCCAGCAACTGCATAGAAAGCGTCATCGAAACCAATCCAAAATCCTGGTGGGTTTGTTTTATTGGAACCTGAACCAATTTCTTTATCTGCAATAAATTGACCTTCCATTTTATACGTAATGAATGTATTGTAAAGGTCCAACATATTTTCACCAGGAGGTGAGAGATTGAATGTTACCCATGTGTTATCTTTAGCAGTTCCAGGTTGTGATGGAATCTTTGCGTCAGAATATTTTCTATTAGTGTCACCAATTTGAACTGCATTGTCTATGATATCGAAATATGAGCGAATCTGATGAATATGCTCTGCTGGAGTAAATTCGTTTAGCTGTTCGTTCTGCATGTATTTACTTCAGATAAAAATATCTATTTACTTCATTATTCTCACTCTTCTTCTTGGTATTCGTGGTGGAAGTTGTTTCTTGACATTTTCAATGAACTGTACATTCTCTTTTGTCTCAACTTCTTTCACTGGCGGGTCAGGGTTCTTTGACTCGGTTTGTTTTTCAATGAAATTCACGAACTTTGCAATAAGCTCTTGGTTCGTTATTGAAAGTACATCTGGCTTCTTTTCTTCTGGTTCTATTGACTTTTCAGTTTGAACAGAAGGTTTTATATGGGCTTCGTGGACTTCACCCTTGCCATGCACCTTAATGTTGTCGCTCTCTGCATTCGCTAATGGACCTTTCTTTTTCTTACGTATATTTTACCATCTTTACTCTGACTTACGTAATAGAAAGGATGTTGTATTCCTCTTGCGTCATTTAATATAATAGACTCTCGCTCTGATTTTGACAAGCTCATTTTACATCGGTTAAAGTTTTAATTTAGTTTTTTATCTGCAGTCAAATGACTCAGACAAGCCCTACGGACAAGACCCAAGGTGTCATAGATGTTGAAGCATTGAAGAAAGAAATTCGCGAGCAAATTTTATCCGAACTGAAGGAACAAAAACAAGAACAAAAGCCAGAGAGACCAAAGAGAAAACTTAGTGAAAAACAACTAGCTGCATTAGCTGCTGGAAGACAGAAGAACCCACGTTTGCTGGCGAAAAAAGCTAGAGAAGAAGCAAAAGCTAAAGAAGCTGAAGCAAAGAAAGAGTAAATGGTTTATTTTTATCCGAATTAAATGTATAGACAAATACCTTTAACTGTTGCGTTCAGTAGTGAAAACCCTGACGTCAAAATAAAGGGGAACAGAGTAACGTTTAAGTTTCCAACAGACTGGATTGTGAACATAAATGAAGAGAAGTACATTGGCATAACATCTATGTATATAACACGTGCTTTCAGAAAGGTTGACTTTATACTTCAAGTCGAGATAGAAAATGACGAACAGTCTTTAAGCGCCCAAAACATTCACATATACAAATACTTTAAAGACGATACAACATTGCAACAATGTATGATTTCATTTAATGAGATGTTCGAGAAAAAGTTCAACATTGAAGTACAAACTTTACAGCCTTTACGTGAGTTTCTTGCACAACTGAAAGAAGAAGGTAGTCAGCCACAACTTATAGACTTTCATTATGAATTTAATGAAAATGAAGATGGAACTCATGACTGTCAATTCATTGTATTCTCACCATTCAATGAAGTCGCTAAAAAGAAAGAAAATCCATTACGTATAAGATTTCAAATCTCCGAACCAAGTGATGATTTTAAGAATGTTTTCAATTATGATGCAATGCTTCCGAGGAAAAATGAATTTTCAAAGATTGTAACACCTGGCATTTGGGATAGAAAGCAAGCAATACTTTACTCTAATATAGCCAAAGGCGTTGAAAATGAGTTCATTGGTCATACAAGAACTTCACCACTTCCTAACCCTAAATACTATAAATTAACTGGCTTCAATCGTGAGTTTTGGATAGACATGTTCTCCACTCATGACCATAAATGTCCAGTGTTCTTGCCTCCAGATGGGAAGGACTGTCTCTACATTGAAGCACAACTCTTAAACTCTACCATCGCAGTATTGTAAAATCTACGCTAGCTTTATTTTTATCACGAATGACCTCATTGCTGACAAAAATAAATGACCTCAGAACTTCAACTTACGAATAAAGCTTGTTTTAGTCGTTATTGAAAAGTTGAACTTTTCAGCAAAGCAAGGTTGACATGACTTACATAAGTCGAATGCAATCTCTTGACCATCATGAAGTGCTTTGTAAAGTTTCATTAAACTGAACTCAGAGTCTTTGTCATATGTTCCAACAGGTATGTGAATGTTCTTATCTTCATTGTAATAGCATTGTATAGCTTCAGGAAACATTTCATTAGCGGTTAAAGCAATAACATCTTGCTTCACGCCTTTCATTCTGCAGTGAAATGCAACTTCATTTAAATCGTTAGTGAGTAAGTCTATGTAGGTCTTCTTTCCACAGAAAATACTTTTATAAGCTAAACTTTGTTTTCCAGGTGTTATTTCTGCAAAGTCGCTATGAAATTGACCAAGGTTCTTTCCTATAAGTTCGCGACCATATCTCTTCTTAAACTCTGCTGCAAGCTTTGGGATGTCTTCATTATATAAGTGCATACTGTCGGTATCCTGGTAAAAGATTTGAAGTCCCATGTCCTCTGCAGTACAGAATACTTCATTCATAATACGTTTTGACATAGACAGAATATTAACACCAAGTGGACAGAAGTTAAAGTGTCTGCAAATGCTTTTCGTTAGCTTGAAAATAGTTTTATCTGAACCATCCAAACCTTCGAACTTCACTATATGGTTGTAATTTCTTATAGCATATCTTATAGCATCTTTGTCATCTACTATGGTTATTTTTGACTCAATAGGAGATAGAATAGTTTTGCCATAAATGCTGTTCAGAATGAGTTTTATAATTTCTTGTAAGGGGTTTTCTTCTTTCTTATACTTTAACCTTAACTCAAACAACTTCTTTACTTCATCTCTTATTCTCATATCTCTGTTTCCATCGTAATAGTATCCTTGCAACACTTCACATTTGACACCTTGATATTTTATGAGGTCTTGTAATGTTATATGGTCAACATACATGAGACAGCAAGTGTTTGAACTTCTTGGAACGTTAAGTTCTGGATTTAGTTCAGGGTCGCAAACTATTAAATGAAAGTGTCTGGGTATACCAATCTCTGTTATCTTAATGAGAACAAAGAAGCCAGACATAAACTTTTCACCAATGGGTTCCTTTTGGTCGTCATCGAATAAATGTCTCATGAGATACTCTGTGCTTAACATTTCTTCCTTCAATACTTTTGGAATACCTTCTAAAGTATAAAGTCTTGCTATAGCTGAAGGATATAATGAAACAGTGTCGAAGTCAGCAATGAGTTTCTTTTTGCTCTTTTGTTTCATGTTATCTGACAACATACATCTTCCACCTTGAATGCATCTCGAAATAAATTCTCTTGGTTTATTTGAGAGGTCATAAAGATTTCCATTCGGGAAGTATACTCTGTTCTCAAACAATTTGTTAGCAATAGAACAAATACTAACGTAGTCATAAACGTTTAAATCAAACTCTTTCAATAAGTCATTGCGGAACTTTACAAAACCTTCTCTTAAAATTCTTACATCTTGTTTGCAGTAAAACGTGCTATATTTTTCTAAGTCGAAGTGGTTTTCATCTATTCTGCAACCTTTGATGGAATCTATGTTCTTCATAAATGTATCTGCATCATGGATAAACTTACATGCTTCAGAAATGACACCAGTTCTGTTGTCATTTGCTAACAAAACACTGCTGTAGTAGTTATATGGAAATACTTCTTTCGGTCCTGTTTGTAAGTTAAACATAGCAGGAAATAGTTTAAGCTTCTTATTTATAACACTGTAAGAGTCTTTTATAATAATTGCCCGTCCTTTATATAAACCAGTTATTTGCATTGTTCGTGAACCTTTAATGATGGGAGTTCCTTTCACTTCTGTCATGTGTCTTAAGATGAAGTTTATGTCATAACTGAGGTTATGGAAATATATTAAACTCTTGTCAGGAAGTCTTTCCAAAAATTCTGTTGCACAGTTTTGACCCCAAATGCTTTCACTAACTGAACCATCTTCACTGTCATAACAGATGTTAAAAGCTTTATGAAAGCCATCCGTACTACACTCAAAGTCAGCAAAGAAAACGTGCTCAGGTATGAACTTACATTTAGCTTTATTTACTTCTTTTGACTCTGCTTTCTTCTTCAGTTGTACACAATACTTTGGAGCATATGTCAAATCTTTAAATGGTGCAAGGTTCTGTTTATATAAGTCAGTCGTATATGTGAAAAGTTCTCCATAAGAAATAGGTTCAAAATATTTGCACTCCCACAATGTTTTCATAACATCCCATAGCGGTGTAGTTCTATCCATGCGAACTACATATTTATCTTCTCTCTTTGTATATATTTTCATCTGTTTTCAATGTTCATTCCACCACACTCCTTCAAGATTTCTATATAGTTTCGAATGAAATATGTTGTCATTGGAAGTCTTTCATTTAGCATGTAGTGGTCTTCAACAAGAAGTAAGTCAATAGTTCGAACAGTTTCACATTCTTTTGGTATGTATCTCTTTATTTCATTATGTCTTGAGTCATTGAAGTAACCAATGGTAACATTAAATGCTATACCTGTTGCGTCAGAAATTTCTTGTACTTTACTTTGAGGAAAGTCTCTAACACGAATGACTTCTCTCATGTGGTCAATAGTTTCTTCATTTACTCCAGCCTGAATGCAAGCATAAACGAAACAATTGTCCTGTCATAAGTGTTGCAGTTCTTTTGTTCAGTTCATTGAAGATTTGGTAGCGTTCAAGATTTATAGGTAATGTGCAAAGATACTTCCAGAACTGACCGCTTCTCTTCTTATAAAACTTCTTTTCACCATTATCTTTCCAAAAGCTTTCTATAAGTGCTGGGTTTCCTGTTTG